ATATATCGCCTTGCTTACAGTATCGCAATATATCGGGATATATCATATCGTGACCCCTCTGTCATGATATGTATTGTATCGCCAAATTCTTGCCAATACACAGCCCTAGAGCTTGTGTGTCGATTTATTCTGATGAAGGAGGGGTTGAATTGAGAGGTGAAACCCTGGARTTACTGGTCCATCTTTGTTCCAGCTGTGGTCACGAGYTTTGGATCCTGACTGAAAGAACCCTAACCCCAAGCAACCAAAGTGAGCTTCCTGTGTAAGCTGTGTGGACTCAAGCTCAGAGATAAGCTCCTGTTTGGGCCACTGTGAAGAAAAAAAATGAGGAGGAAGTTGTTCTTTTCTTCTAAATTTTGAGATTAAAGTGTTTGATTTACAGGAAAAATTAAACGTTTGACAGAAAATTTAAAATGGTTTTTCTTTCAAGCTTGTCTTCATGATTGGAGTCCAGTTGTGACTGCAGTGCTGCCTGCTGTTTGTTACAGGCAGGACTTTGAGGAGCTGTTTGATGTCATCATCACAAACGCTCTGAAGCCAGGCTTCTTCTCCTTGGTACCCCAGCAGAGACCCTTCAGGACCCTTGGTGAGTCTCATGTTCACCTGGACTTTCTCACCTGTAGTCCCCCCTACCACCTGAGTGACCACCTCACCTAATGTTACACCAATATCTGTACAAATTATTTCAATATAAATATGTTTTTACTCCCAAGGTCCATTAGCTGTGGCAGCCATCTTGAACCGAGTTATTCAGTTGTAAATTTAATCCAGGCATGGTCAGTCCTGGTCCTGGGGGGCCGCAGCCCTGCATGTTTTACATGTTTCTCTGCTCCAACACACCTGATATGAACAGATGATTATCAGGCTTCTGCAGTACGGAGGACCAAAACTGACATAATTAGAAATAAAAGCAGAATTATATGAACCACTAAATAAATTCACATAAAATACACCAATTAAATTTAAAAAAGAACGTTATCTCCTGTTTTATATTTTAATTGACTTTCATATTTATTTTTCCAGGTTAGTTCCAACAACTTAGTCTCTCTCTCTCTCTCTCTCTCTCTCTCTCTCTC